CACACACACACACACACACACACACACACACACACACACACACACACTCTTCCTCGGCCTCCTCTGTCACACAACCCCCTCTTATCCCCGCCATCACCTCCCTTCGCGGACCCCGTCCCTCCCCCGACTCCCTAACCCCCCCGCCCCAAACTTGAGGGCCTTCCACCAAGGCCCCAACCAGCCGAGCTCCCATTCTGTTACCGGCTCAAAGGGCCTCCCCTTGACCCCAGCCCAATGACTCTCTTCCTAATCGGAGTCCAGTCCCTCCACTTCCCCCACCGTGAAGGACCCACCAGAGGTGGTCAGAACTCGGCGTCCTCCAACATCCAGTCGTGGCAGCCCTCCAGTTTCAAATTCAACGGTCCCGCGGCGGGCGAGGCCCCGCCCCTTCCGTCCTCTCGCGACGCCTCATTGACGCCGGACTGGTGGAGGCATTGTGGGGCTTGTAGTTTCCTTTGGGGGTTGAGGCCTACGAAATCAGTCGTCGGGCTCCTGGAGGGATGCATGATGGGAGCTGTAGTTTTTAGGCTTCTCCTGGGTTTCCGGGACTGTTCTCCCGGGGTGATTAGAAGAGACTTTAAAGAACATACGTTTCTAGCTGGAAGGGTCCTTAGAGGTCGTTAAATGTGGTGTCGTGGATGGAATGCTGGCATTAAGAAGACATGAATTCAAATCCTATCTCAGACATTTACTAGCCAGTTATCAAGTCTTTGTTAAGTGCTTACTATATGCTAAGGCACATGGTAAGACATTATGCTAAGCACTGTCTGTGTAGGCAGAAAATCTCCTGCCCTCAAGGAACTTACATTCTAGTGGGGGAATACAACATGTGAACAACTATGTACATGCAAGATATACAGGGTTAATTGGAAGTATTAACTGAATGATCCCATGCAAATTACTTTACCTGCCTCAGTTTCCTCATTTGTAAAATGGAGATGATGATACCTCACAAAGTTGTTGTGAAGATCAAATAAGGTAATCACAGTATTCTACACTGAGCTCAGGCCTGAGCATTCATCTAACCTATCTTCTTCCTCCCCGTCCCTCTATTTTACAGATAAGAAACCAGCCTAGAGAAGTTATTTGACTTGCCTGGGATGATAGAGCTGGATTTCACTGTTAAGTCCTCAGATCCCACATCTCCCGTTCTTTCCAGTTCACTAAATTAAGATAAATCATCCCATCAAGATAATACATGTCTTTAAGCCTTGGAATCTTGGCCTGAAGTGAGTGTTAATTTTGTGTATACCACAGTTAGATGAGGAACCTAGGCGTAGGCTCTAGACCACCCCCACCCCCACCCCAACCATGGCCTGCTTTCTCAGGGCTCTCGCCTAGTCATGATCTGCCATATGTCAAAACTTCAATCTTTTCTGGAGAGATGTGTCTACCTCTTTATTCCAGCACTACCCTTCTCACTCTTCTTCTACCCATCCCAGAGCCCCTATCCTTATTGCATTTATACTGCTCTGGAAACTGATATCCCTTTCATCATTAATTTCAGATCTCGGATTTGTAGCTCCCTAAGAAAGGTTCCATTTCAAAGGGGTATTGAGACATCTTCTCCTCCAAAAAAAAAAACAAAAACAAACCCCATCAAAATACATTAGAACTCAATTCAATATATATTTAATTCAATATTTATTGAGTGCCAACTATATTTAGGGCACTGTATCTCTGATCACTCATCAGTATGTACTGTCTTCAAGAACTTTATCTGAGGACAGTAGAAAGAGCATTAGTTTTGGAAGCAGAAGACCCAGATCTAAATCCCAGCTGGATCACTCACTCACTACCTATGTGACTTTGGGCAACTGTCTTAATCTCTCTGGATCCCAAGTTTGTCATTTGCAAAATGAGGGGGTTGGAGTAGAAAACAATGATGATAATAATAATAACTAAATTTTATATGGTGCTAAAGGTTTGAAAAGTGCTTTATGTATATTATCTAATTTGAGCCTCACAACCCTGTGAGACAAATATTGTTATTAATGCCATTTTACAAATGAGGAACCTGAGGCTAAGAGGTTAAGTGATTTGCTCAAAGTCACACAACTAATATGTCCCAGTGTCACAAATGTCCTCACTTCATTTCCCACAAGACTGTACTCCTGTAGACTTCTCCATCACCCCCTGTATCTTCCATACCTCCTATTGGGTACCTTCTCCTCTCCAGATTCTGGGCTACCTTTTATGCATCATCTTTCCCATTAGAATGTAAGCTCCTTGAGGGCAGAAACCATTTTTTTGTATTATATTTGTGTCCCAAGCACTTAGTACAATGTCTAAGCACTTGATAAATACTTGTTGACTTAACAAGTAGGATTAAAACTCAAGTCTTCCTGGCTCCAAGTCCAACACACCATATGCTATACCACCTGTTGTTGAATCTGACTCTTTGTGACCCCATTTGGAGTTTTTTAGGCAAAGATACTGGAATGGTTTGCCATTCCTTTATCCAGCTCATTTTACAGATGAGGAAACTGAAGCAAACAGGGTTAAGTGACTAGAACAGGGTCACACAGTTAAGTAAGTGTCTGAGGCCATATTTGAACTCAGAAAGATGAGTCTTCATGACTCCAGGCCCCTCGGCTGTAGCCACTGCGCCACCTAGTGGTACCTTAACTGACATCCCTTGACTCACTTCTTAAAGAGGCTTATTCACTAAATGGACTTTACCTCACTCAAAGTGAGAACCTGAAAAGACCTTAGCTTAAAAGGGCCAAGGTCTCCCACTGCATCCTGGGCCATCTCCAGTTGTCCTGATTGATATCTGGCCACTGGACCCAGATGGCTCTGGAGGAGAGAGTGAGGCTGGTGACCTTGCACAGCCCTCCCTCACTCAAATCAAAGTCAATTGCAAGTCATGTCATCATCTCCCTGATGTCATGGTCCTCTTCGAGAATGAAGGACAAACCATACAACTGAGTTAAAGCTCTTGTACTTTTTAGGGGGTCAGAATACCTTTACTCTCATTGAAACTTTCAGTTCCTTTCTATTTGGATCTCAAAGCCCCACCCTATAAAGGGTCCTCTCAGCAGGCTGTTTGAATACACCCTTTTTGTATCACGAGACCAAGGACTACTCATGAAGTAACTTGGCTGGGACTCAATTGGTGTAAAAATCCCACCTCTGGTATTTATATGCTGAATGACCATGGGAAGTCATTTTTACTCTCTCAGCATCATCATCTATAAAAATGGGAATAATAATAGCACCTACCTCCCAGGGTTGTTGCCAGGATCAAATAAAACAATGTATCAAGCCTCAAAGCAGGCTACAAAGATATCAGTCCTTACTATTCATCCCTGTCCGATTTAGATTAAATCTAGCCTGTTATCTTCTCCTTCACTAAGAACCCTCTCTCTGTTTACAGATTGGTTAATATCCTCTCCAGGATCTTTCTGAGGTTTAGAAAGGCATGCACACCTGTCCATTTTTCTCACCTTCCTCTAGCAGATGGGCCAGGGTTCCACAGATTCTTCCCTTCCCTATGCTAGCATTGATAACTCAAACAGGGAGGAGAGAAATCTGTCCTGATGGGAAGGCTACTTAAGAGTGAAGATCCATGTTGTTATGGATTTCAATTAGCTGCTCTGGAGACCTGGCTGACACTGTGGTATTTTCTCTCTTGATATTAGGTCTTACTTGCAACTCAGCCAAGCCCCCGATAAATTATGGTACTTCATATAGCACCCGCAGGCCAGCCCTTTCCCCATCCCCGCCAAAGAAGTAGGGGAGGTGACAAGGCAGAGCAAAGAGAAAGAAGGTTGTTTTTGTGTTTGGGGTATCATCTCTAAATTAGCAGTCAGGGACTCCTAATGTGGCATATAAAATCAATTCAGTGCCTAGGTCACTATGGATGTCTTATAGTTCTTCAGAGACTCTGATAAGAGCTCAGAACTATTTATACCATTCACTGTATATTAAGGGTTACCTGATTTTAGATGTTACGCACAAGGATCCTCCTGCCAGAGGGCATAGGGGTAATGGTGTAACGTATACAAAGTTTGCCTTTGGTGCTCTGCCACTTCCCCTGGATTTATTTACCTGGCCTTCCTTGTATTTCTCAGGTCTCTCCTCTCTTCCTGACTCCTCACTACCATTTCCCTCAACAGTGGCTCATTCTGGCATTCTCTCTCCCTCTTCTCTTCTCTCGTAACAACCCTACCAGCAGGAGTGTTCTGGTAAAGGTTTAACAAACAGCTCTCTGGAAGTTGGGGTGGGAGCGAGGAAGACGTACACCTGACACATTTGTAAGTTTAATCTGCATGATTAATATTTTTCTCCATCATTTTCCTAAGTCAAAACAATTAACAAAAGAATAAATCAAGTCCCTATTTGCAGCATTTGCATTTCAGAGATATAAATGCTAACACTGCAAATTTTACAAGTCCTGCTGGTAGGAACCAGCTCTGGCACCCCCACTGCCTTTGAGGTAGGTTCTATTATTACCCCCCTTCTACAGAGGAGAAAACTGAAGCTCAGAGAGTTCATGTGACTAACCCAGAGTCACACAGATATCCAGTATCAGTGGGAAAATTTGTACCCAGGGCTTCCTGACTTCCAATTTGGCACTCCTTCCACTGCAGCAAAAATAAAAATTCATAAAATTTAAATTTTCATAAAAATTTAACCACCTTGTTTCTTATTTTCAGTTAGCTGTCACATTAGAAAACAACTTAATAAATTCTTCCTGATAAAGATTTCACACGTTCCCCTCCTCCAGAGGTATTTCTAATTTAACAGGAGATTCCTTCAAGAAGAGAAACATAATGCTTTAATCTCAGGAACTGGATCTCTAGTAGTGGTGCTTCAGGCACTGTGTCAAGCTGATAGAATCTATTTCAAAATATGTGGGCAGCTGCCTGCTCCACCTAAGTGTAAAGTCAGTCCTCAAAAGAGGACTGGGAAACTCCCCATTTCTCAATTTTATCAACATGGATTATAGAAAATGCTAGTGCTCTTAAAAGATAAATCTTCCAAAGATGAAAACCTGTTTGGGTCTCCAGGGAGCTCACTGACCATTTGTTTACTGTGCAACTACAGGAGGTGGGAGGGAATAGTGGGGGGTGGGGAGAGGGAGATGGGGAGATAGGTCAAGAGTGGGGAGGGGAGAGGGGTATTCAGAGCCAGATGGAGTCCACATCTGGGAAAGCAGCATCACTATGCTGGACTTTCCCCCAGCAACAGATCAGCCAATCAGAACATTAGCTACATCCCAAATTCACCAAGGATGGGGTGTCTGGAAGTGGAAGAGCCAATGAAAAGGAGGTAAAATAAGCAAAAACCAACTTGTGTTGCCAGGAGGAAGGGAGGTGAAGGGTGAAAAGATGCATTAACTCAGGACTGGGGGCTGCTGGCTGCTGCACAGTTGTG